GCTGAGAGGTGTCTCCATGGCAACATGGGCGTGAACCAGTCCCAGGGGAAAAGCATATCGGAAGAAGGGGTGAAATCTGATGGATGTGGGTATGTGACACGGTGAGTGAGGAGACATGTGCTGGTTGCACACGCTGACAGATGGGGCCAAAATGAAAACCAAGCTTGTTTAGGTTCATCAGAGCAGCAGCATCTGATCAAAGCAGTAAAAAAAATGTTCCCTTTGTCTTCCGACAACTGGCGATATCAATTCTGCACGTAATAATTACAGATACGCTTTATGAATTATGCTTATTTTTAACTAGAAGTTGCGGGGCACTACAACAGTGTGCAAACACGTGTGCAGTGCAGTTCTTATCTCAGTCAAGAGTCAAACTTAGATACAGGAACAAAAAAGCCTGAAAACCATCTTAAACCATCTGTTTAATTTAGCTCTTTGACCCTGTGACATCCACATGAAGTACATTTTGCCTAGTCTCAAAAAACACAAGACAGTTTGGGTTGCAGCTCCTTAAGAAAAAAAAACGTCAGATCAATCAATGAATAAGTTAAAGCCAAATAGGAAACTATTGTCTAGCATCTGAACAGCGAAAGCACCCTTTTTTTGATGAGCGAGACTGTGCCACTTCTGGTTCTATTCCTGTGATCAGAGGTGGAGAGGGATCTGTGAGCTCCAAATAGGTACCCTGCTTAATTATCTGAAGTCTACTGTGGGACATGTGCCTCACTTATACATGAACTCCACTAATTACTTCATCAGAGAGTGACTTTTTATAACTCTTTATGAGAGGTCTTTGTTGCACAACTGCCCTGTTTCATTCGTTTCTAAGGTCATCTGGCCTCAGAAAGAAGAACTTATTAAAATTATTTTTTTTCACTTCAAACATTGTTGGTTTCTATCTATTTAGTTCTTCTTAGATAGACGCCTTCCATTTAGCTGACTGCACATGTTCCCTTTAAAATGCTTAAAAGTGCTGTTGTTTACATTTAAAATGTGAGGTTATAACATGAAACCAACACAGAGTCTCAGAGTGAACATCCTTTGGTGGAACATGAGCTTGTGCAGCTGTTTTTCATCACTCCAGTTTTCCTGATGTGAGTTTCCAGTGTTAAAATGCAAATAAAGCTCGCTGATGGTTTTTGCTTGTGCTTGACTTACTGAGCTTTCTTCGCCAAAAATGCAGCGATGAAAATCAAATGCACAGTCTACTTCTGATCATAATTATGTGCCACCGCTTGCAGTTGGTTTAATTTTTCTAGTAAATATTAGTCTTTTATAAACACAAGGACAAAAGTGACCACATCCACTGACCATCACTGAACATTCATGGAAATCAAACTGTTTTCGTCCATAAATGGACCATTGTTTACTTGATTAGTGCCAACGAGTAAACTGAAGAACAATTCAGAGGCTGTGTTAAATGATAACAGTGTTAAATGATAATCAACGCCTGGCAGATCTGCAGCTCCATGAAAGGCTGATTATATGTCACATACTTGTGAAGTGACAGAACAAAGTATCTGTTTATCAAGTGGCAGCTGCATTTATCACAGAGTTCATAGAGACAAGGGGAGAATCAAGAAAGTTGAAAGTCAAAGTTTCCCTCTATATTGACAGACAGCAGGGTGATTCCTCAGCTTTATATACTTTATATCGCTGAGCTCCGATAAGCAACTGACTAGTTTAAGACATTTAGCCACTCTATGTAAAGCACACAGAAGGCTAAATTCAGGGTTTTGTGATCACGTCTGAGATAGTGTTCTTACATGTCTGACATCATTGCATTTGTGTATATCTGAGCAAGACGCATCAGTGACAAGCATTATTCTGCAAGTAGTAAATGTATGAAGTGGGAATCATTAATCAAATGAGCTGACCGCATGTACTGAACAAAGACTTTAAACCATTACGTGGAGAAATTTATTTTCTAATATGACCCTCATTCAGAAAATGTTTGAACATTTCCAGGCTACAACAAGTGTTAAATAGCACTACATATCTGGAAAAAAAAAGATTAAATATGTCCATTAGTAAAAGGTGTTGTTGAGCATAGTCCATAACCTATGCGCAAAGGGCTGTTTCCAGGCTTGATGCCAAGTTAAAGTTGCATCATATATAATGTTGACCAAAATTATAAGTGTGTTTGCTAAACTGTTAAACTTGTTTTAATCAGTAATTATTGATTAAATCAACCAATAAACAGAAAATCCTTGCAAACTAAAAATATCACAAAGTACAAATGTTTTCCCATTAAAAAAATAACCCAAAAATAAAAATAACCAGCACAAAAAAGTGGCAGAATCCTGAGGATTGATGTGTTAAAACAACGCAATCTTTCAGCATCGGCTCAAGTGTGTGTGGTCATTAAAATGTGTGAGACGCTGACAATTTTCCAAGATCTGTTTCCCGCATTAATCTCCCAATCAAAGCAGCAAATTAGAAAGACAACAAAGACATTCAATTCAGGAATTTGCATTCTATTAACACTGGACTTCTCTGATGCTAATGAACACTAAAATACGTTAACTGAAACATGTCTGCATATGGGTGTATCGTCTTGGTGCGTAAAGTGATCACTTCTGGGAAGCATCATCAAGAAAGATTACCATGTGCTTCCAGGAAATGTAGGTAACTAAATAAGCAGCATTGTGTGTCTCTGGCTTTCAAGCTAAACCATCAGGTAAAAGCATTCATCATGTTGACTTTTATAGGAAAAATACTTCAAACAACCAGTATAACAGGGAATGTAAGCCTACTTAAGGCTGTGAGGCAGAGCTATACTGCACTCCATGCAGTGTTTGGAATCTGTGAATTATTGCCAAGCTCAGGGAACGCCGCCAACAGAACCTGCAGTCACTTAGGCCGAGTAAAGTACGGCAAAAGGATGTGAACACTGGGCCAGTTAAATAATAATGATTTGCAGTGAAGGCAACAATGGGATGTTTGATTGTCCAGGTTTGGTTTGAAAGCGTTGTGATGTATCCCTACCACCTCTCTTTAGAGCCGTGTGATTGTCCAGCTTTTAAAGCACACGTGCGTGCCTTATAACGAGGATGTATGGGCTTATAACCAAAGCTTTGGTTGTAAATGTCGAGCAGCTGCCGATGGTTGAGCCCACCTCACAAGCTGCCCGTCCTACTGGCAGCGAGGGGGAGGCAGAGCTCCTGTCCTGTGATCACACGGTGGTTCACAGCAAAAGGAAGTGCAGGCTCTCCAGCAAGTCTCTGTCTGTTCAGTGCCCTGCCCTACTGACATGCTAATGCGAGATCAGCCAGCTGAAGGGCTTGAATAAAGCGAACACCGTCTCTCCGTGTCCTTCACAGAATCCCGGATTTTGGCAGACAGCCACAGGGGTCATTGAGAATTTATCAACAGCGGGGTAGAACATTTTAGAAAAAGGAATCTTTTGTAAGTGGAAGAGCGGGATTGTGCCTGTTTAAATTTACATCCTCATCTGCAGTCCCTGAATCCAAATCAAACCCATTACTGAGCCATGACAACTCAGAGACATGCTTGCCTTTAATTGCCTTGCTGAAAGCAGATTTTTTTCCTTTTTTTTTAGTCCATCATCTATTCATTCCCATACACATTAAAGCAACTCCATCCCTGTGTTATGACCCTATCCATGACATACCAATTGCATGGCCCCTTCTGCAATGTAGATTAACCTTAAAGCAATAACTCAGAAAAAGGCAGCACTCATTTCTGATATGAATATCATTTCCATTTGCTCACTGCCTCCTCCAGCTCATGACATAGCCATTGTTGTAAGGTGGTGGCTATCAAGAGAAGAGCCCTCTGTGTCTGAGGGCCATGAAACACACCAGCTGTGAATGAGAAACACGCAACCCTCTCCAACAATGAACATCTCCCCTCCTCATACAGCTGAAGATGCCATCTAATGCAGAGAGCTGCCAGAAAGCACCTATGACACAAGAGCAATTCAACCATTTTATGGTTGGATGTGAATCATATTAATTAGGTCTGAATGGAGACAAATTAACTATATGAAGGTAGAAGGACAGAAGATGGGCATTAGCCTGTTTAAATGCATTTTGCAAATGAATTGTAAGAGTCAGGGGACTAAAGCATGCTAAGGGGCAGAGAACCCTCATACCCAGCTAACACCATTTAGCTGTATGCTTTTCACGCAAAGAGTAGTTTCCCTATGCATTAGTCCGACAAATTCAGAGATAAGGAGCATCCATAGGTCCGGAAGTCACAGGGGGATCTGCTTAGGACCTCTAGCCGTAACATAAAACGTTCCTCCACAAAGAGCCAGAGCGTCACTAATGGGCCCAGGGTCTGAAATTGGACCCCAGCCCCACTTTGGGAAATGTCTGCATAAAGCAAGCTGAATCTGGTTCAGACATCTTTATTCCACCGGACCCCAAGGGTCAAAGTGTTGTAAAATCAACAGGGAAGGAATCAGGCATTAACCAGCAAATATTATCATTCCTAGAGACTTTAGGGCCTGTGGAATAACACCGAAGCCACACTGTCATCCGTGATCTTGCCAGACAGTGAATATTATCATAGAATGTGTGCTTACTATACATTATGTGCATTCAATTTATTTATATTTTTTATGTATTATCTCCAACAAAACTAACCACAAGACAAACCCAGAAATAAAATGTTTTTGGCAGACCACCATCCTGATATGATTTCCTTATGATCATTTCTCCTAGCAACAAAGGTAGAGAGCCACGATCATGCCCATTCACATTACCACCCAAAGCTCAGGAAAAAAAGGGAATACATGAGCATTAAACACGCTCCTCACACTCTGCTGTTTGCCTGATGCTTGTCGCTAACATTGGCTGTCACGGATTACCTGTCACCTGATCGCCCAAAGTCTGCCAGCGCTTTTTGTGAGGCATGCCTCTGAAAAAGGTGAACGCACTTGAAGCTTGTGCATAAAAAATCTACAGGACGGACTCTGGCTCTTGGCGAGGCAGAGGATCAGTCTGCACAGACAATGCACACGCACACCGCACCTTTCACTTGGGTCTCATAGTCCGCTATGATCTCCTTATCCTTCTTGAATTTCGTGGATGACATGGCTCCTCGGGCTTTGGGGGGCGAGACCCTGCGAGTCGAGGTCTATCTTTGTTGTCGATCACCGATTTGCAGTGCTGTGGCGCGATCCTCCGTTTTTTTCCCCCCTCTCCTCTCATCTACTGGCTGCTTGGAGGCAGCGGGGCTTTAATGCTATTGTAGTCCTGCAGCCCGGAGAGGCAGTCCAAACCAGCGCGGATCAAACACTTCAGCATCGGTCCAAGGCTGCGTTTTTGTTTTGTGCTCCTTCACCCAACTGCTTGGTCAGGAAAAAAGCACAAAGACAACAAACGAGCTCAAAACTGCAACAGCAACAACATGATGAGCAGGGCAGAGGGACGCTCGGAGGTCTCGACCAGTCAAGTCCCTCTGTGGAGAAAAACCTACAGACATGCGTACGAGCGGCTGGGCAGACACACACACACACACACACATACGCACACACACACACACACACACAATCCACGCTGACACACTGCGCTGCGGGGAGACAGGAATTCAAAAGACTATCACGTGAGCCTCCTAGTTCTGTCAACCATCCCTCCCTCCCTGCTCTCTGTCACGCGCACCCACGCACTCCCTGCTCCCCCTCACGCACGGCGCACCGACTTATCATTCATTTCATGGAGGCTTACCCTGATCTTCAGCACTCACTTGCCGAGTCGTTACCCGAACCTTAAATGGCAGCAGTGTTTTATACGCCCAAAACATTCACACACACACACAATGTGTTCAATTCCATCACCTCATGATCAGTGATCTGGTGACACACTGACATGATCACTAAGATGGTTCACTGTTATGCTCCTGTTCCATTTAGTGCAAAGATGTTTGCATCTCTGCACTGTCCATTGCCATGGATACCTTAAGTCTTATTATTTTCACCATAGCCACGGTTAAGGATGGGTGACACATCTGAGCAGGGGGGGGATTATCACAGAAGAAGTGAGAAGCCCGGTGGTAAGTGTCTCAGTTCTGATGACACACCAGCACCTCCACCTACCACCGATGCTTTAGTCTTTAATCTTGTTGCCACCACCAGACGGGCTTCCTGCTAATGTAAGCAGGTTATCACCTTTTTAAAGGAAGTTAGGTCCTTCACACTACTTCACTTTGTTGCAAACGGATGCATCATCTTCTTTACCGCACCACCTCTTTTAGTTAGAAATGATGCTGGGAGATGAGGAATACTTTTGGGTGATAAACTATTAGCACAATCATGGTTAATTTTGCAGGACAGGAAAGAAAAAGTCATTTTAATGCAGATGCACAGTGGAAGAGATGTATTCAGAGCACCTGAACGTAAAACCCAGAGAATTTTAATCCATAGAATGAACAGAGACAGCGTTTGCACGCAGTCAGTGACAGGCACCGAGTGTCTTTCGTGGCAGATGCTGTCATCTGGGGGACTGTTTTTGTTATCTGTCACCTCAGCTATTCTCAGCCCTAAAGGGGACGAGGCTGACAGTTCAAAATGCACGGGTGCAAAGCAGCATGTTGACACGTAGTAGAAGATCCCTCTGCAGCTCACAGAAAAAGAAGTTGCGAAGGGAAACAAAGAAAAAGCAAACGAATGAACGAAAGAAAAAAGGAAAAAACAGAGACTTCACACCTACAGAAAATGCTTTCATCAGTTTTTATTTCATTGGTGTAATCCTAAATGAGCTCTTCTGCCTATTAGTGAGTTTAAAAAAAACAAAGAAAAATGTATTCATTGCATCACATGCAAAACAAATATGCCTCATTGGTGATAAGGACAAAACAAAAGGATTATTCACAGTTTGCCAACTTAGAAGTTCTTCTTGTTCTCAGTCTCATAATGAGACAGCAATAAATCATGTCTAAGTCTGAGCATTACTATTCTAAACAGGGTACTGTGGTCAAGGGTTTTACAACATTTGCCCTTCCAGAAATGTCTAATAGTTTAAAGCCTAAATAACAAAATCACTAACACAGCATGTGGAGCCAAACCCTTATTGTCATGAAACGCAGTCTTAGATGAAATATGAGGACATTGCTAAACACAAATCATTTAAATAATTAACTCTTAATGTAAGAATCTAATTCAACACACTGTCTTTGACATTCCCATGTCAGCTTGCACATTTTAATCCTTAATGCTCGTTTGTTAATTGTAATCACTTGCCTTTGCTGCACCAGTCTCATCACAGGCATGAAAAGCTCCAGAGGAATTTAAATGGCATCTGGAAGTGTGCATGTCTGTGTTATCAGTGAGGCTGGATACGAGACCGGGAAAGGACACACATCTTTTTTTGTCGTGTCTTTCTGTGCAAGAGTCTCACTGAAATTTGTTATGTTCTGTCTACGTGTTTGTGGATCTGACAGTGAGTCGAAATTACTTTTCAGACTTCCTGTCACCTACAGATGTGAGGAGGGAAGCCATGAAAATGAAGCCACATCACTTGTGAGCGAACAACTGTGACAGAGGTCTAAGAGCCTGCGTTCTTCCTTTGTTTGTGTTTCCCCTAGAGATGCCAGCAAACGTACTTTTCTGCTGTCCCTTTTATCCCTTGCTGATCTCCACAGCATCGATGTCAGACACTGAAATTTATGTCCATGATCTCTCATACAGCACATGAAAAAGTCTGTATAAGACAGTAAATTTTCCAAACAAGTCTAAGTATTTTTTTATATTTGTAATGACTAGTAGTTTTACACCCTTTTGATGTTTTTTAAGAAACAAGTTACCAAATTCAAACCTTGATAATTCTTATGGTTACAGAGATTTCAGTCATCAATTCCATGTTTTTAAATCAATTACTATACTATTATAGTATATATACACACACACATATACATATATATATATATGTTTTTGTTGGAGAAGCTTGACTTGGATCTCAATAATCAAAATACCAGATTGTGCTGTTGCACCACCTGTTTTATGCATGTTGTTGATAAAAATCATCATCTGAAACACACACACTGAGTCAGAGGACAGTTTGGTGCATGTAGGAGTGAGTTACATCACTAATGTCTGACGACTGCCACACCATAAACAAGCCAATGTTTGTGGCTGTGTCTGTTATACTTCTGCATTCTGTGTGTTCTATCGGCAGAAGATGGGCCTCTGTATATCAACTCTGTCTATCACATCTTACATTTCTAAATATAGATTGGTATTTTAGGCTGACTTTAGCCCATTGCTCTGTGTGGTGAAGCTCCTGTGGACTACTGACGTGGTTTCACTTTATCAACTTACAAAGTTGAAGAGTTATAATAAGTTGCAAATCACCAACAACTTCTACTGCAGTCGTGTATATTTATTTCAAAAGCTATGCAGCACTCATGCAGTAAGAAAAGGATGCCGACCCCTGTGTCCCATCTCTAATGAAAAACAGAGTAGAGGATGCTGTGTAAGATAAGTAAGCATAATTGTGAAATGATGTATCTTACAACAATCCAGGATGCTTGCGTGATTACCAACTAACTTTCACACATATCAGATTTGCTAAAGTACCAAACCTCAAGAATTTGTTTCCCCTTCAATATGCAATTTTTTTTGCTGAAAAAGTACATGCATTTATTATATAAAGATCTGACTGTTTGTTAAGTTGCCCAAAGTTTTTTGCTGTGTGTGAGTGTACCGTGTGCAACGCTGGCCATCTGTCGTGCAGGATCCATCATTCACCATCATGAACAGACACCCACTTGTCTGCCAGGCTTCACACTTAGTAATCAGTTGCCCTGAACAGAAACTTAGAGAACAACAAAACACATTTCAACAAACACAACATAACTGATGTGGCGATGCATCACACAACGCAACAACGCAGACATATTTGTCAGTTTGAAAGGAATGCAGATAAAAAGCATCACAACCTGTGAAAATACACTGAATTGTTAATCATTTTTGCTCCTCTCATGTTTGCTAAAAGAGAGAAAATTATCTTTCCCCAGCCCAGTGGTGCAATCAATTACAGAGGGAAATGTTACATGGAGGAGGAGGTAGTTACCCTTATCGTCACTCTCTACATAAACTTCATTAATCACGCATGATGAAATGGTTAAAGAGATTAAGCTGACTGCACAAGCCTTGTGCAGCAGCATGCCACTATAACAATGAAATGTGCATATTGTTCCACCGAGTTACTGGTTTGATGCACTTTTTTCTTTGAGAATAATTCTACTATAATATCCTTTATATATGCATTCGACCAACCTCTTATACTGCAGGTAAACAAGAATTGTAAACAATAATCAAAATAATGATTGCTGTAATTTCTATAATCAGAAAGTGAAGAATGGGGCTTTTTATGTATCAGTCATTACTCTTTTCTTAGGTTTTTCAATCTTTATTCTTGCAGCTAACTTTGCCTCATCCTTTAAGTCTTTGAGTCTGTTATATCATGGCGCCCTCTGTCGCTCGTTGGCCACAGTTGTACCCGGAAGTTTTAGTTTAGGATGAAGAAGACTTCTTTCCACACTTGATCGCATTTTTATTTAAGTATGAGGAGGAAGGTTAGACCCTACAATCAGGCACGAACCAAAGAAGAAAACGAGTGTAAATTTGGACGCGTTTAATTTGTGCTGAAGGGGGAAAAATGTTATCTTTGTGAAAATTATGTTTGATACTTTCAATATAAAACATCCGTTTAATTCCACATAACTTTTAAACAACTGTATATTGAAAAAATCCCAATACATGAAGTCTGGGGACATCAAACCTGAACCTGAGAGAAACATCTTCTTTGTCAGATGTTTTGTGCATCATGTGCATCATTTTTATATTTGATTTTATATTGAGAAATGCAGAGCAGTGTTCCACGGATGGATTGTTTTGTTCCTCATTCTTCAGTCGTAACGAATCGCTGACAGCGTTGGTTTTATTTTGAAACGTTGGCAGCGGAAGTTGGCCTTATTTCCGTCAAGCGTAAACAGCGTGTCGGTACCTCGCGTGTGTTGGCACGTTTGACTTCTGTTGTCAAACTCAGTCCTTGTGGGCTTTACAGGTCATTGTCATCTTAACACTTCCAACGGTGGGCTCAGATACACGTGACTGTGTGGATGTAGTTTAATATGACAAACTAACAGTTTCCATCCTTGTATCAAACCGAAAGCTAACGTTAGCTTGCTAAGTTCATGACAGTTACTTCCTCAGCACGAGCACTATCCCTGTTTAAAATGTCAAATTTAAAGTGTTTCATGCTAACTTTTTACAGCGTTTTTTGGGGGTCCATTGTAGCTTTATATTTAAGTCTGAATCTGAAATGCACAGCAGTGACAATGCGGTGTTTTGTTTTTTGCTACAGGTGAGGACTTCTTTACCTGTGTGCGGTGAGGGGCTCCTCAGGGCAGAATGTCCTCTCACGGAGACGGGACTGCAGAGCAGACCTCCAGCTCTGTGGATCCGTCCACCTCCTCTGATACCGAGGCTGATAGTGGAGACATCTTTACTGTCACCATCGGAGCAACCGTGCCCACCGGGTTTGAGCCCACTGCTGCGGAGGAGGTCCAGGAGAAGATTGGGGTCGATGCACGAATCAGCAAAGATCGAGGCCGCATCTATTTTCCAATCACTACTGACAAACTTTTCCAGGTACAAACCTGGCTTGAGTGTATCCCTTTCACTGTTGCGTTTCATGCAAGCATGTCGATATGCAGAAAGGATCCGTCTTAAAGTTGTGTGTCTTTCTATGTTTTCATCCTTATTGCAGGTTCATCTTCTTCGATCTGTGGACAATCTGTTTGTTGTTGTTGAGGAGTATGATCATTACCAATTCAAAGACTCAAAGGTAAGCTCTGGCCTCTGGTATTTGCTGTTGGCTAGATGATACTTAAGGCCAAATTAGCAATCAAGCTCACATGACACAAAACAATATTGTGTTAATCCAACCAACAGAATTTACACATGCATACAAACATGTCTATAAATGGGGCAATCAGACCCAGAAAATGCAGTTGGAGATTGAATCAGTCGTGCATTTGCGTGTTCAGATTGACTCAAGTAGGCCAAGGCCCTCCTAAACAATGATACTAAATGTAATTGTTATACTTTTTGTGGTAAAAACTGGTAAGTGTATTTGTATCATGCATACATTTTTATTTGTTAACATATTTTCTTCTACTTTTGTCAGACAGTGATTTGGATCAGAAACTGTTATTTGAAATCGACTGTTCAGGATCAGGTCTTTGTCCAATTTAAGCTGTTTCCAGTATGTTGCTTTGCTTTAGAAGAAAAAAATCTCCAAAATGCCAGAGAAAATGACTATTTGGGCCATTTATAGTCTGTACGGTGAATTCATCTCCACTTACATGCCCAGTGGTCTACCTTCAGAGACAGCAAGAAGCAGCAGAGTGCTGTCAATGAAACGGTCCCCAGGGCCACAGAGGAGCCCTCAGACTGTAACCTAATTCTGCTCTTGTGTTGGTATGCTGGGACAAAGCGCTGGTCCGGTGACCACTAACCGTGCTTGTCCCTGTGCTCTCCGTGTGCAGGAGGACACCCTGTTGGAGTTGCAGCAGCTCGCCTCCAAACTGCCCTGGACTAACGCCCTTCAGGTCTGGAAGCTAAACCGGACCGTGAAAAAGAAAAAAGGCCACCGCAAAGGGGGAAACGCCACCAAAGACAAAGCCTGCGGCGAGGCCAGCGAGGCGGCTGCTGCTGCCGAGGCGGAGCAGCAAGAGGAGGCCCAGGAGCCGTCCCCGGCCGAGGGGGACGCCAAGGCAGAGGGCGTGCCCGAGTCGCAGGCCCGCCAGAAAGACGCAGAAGAGGCTTCCCACGAGGCCAAACCCCTTAGGTTTCGTGTGACCTGCAACAGGGCCGGGGACAAACACAGCTTTTCCTCCAACGAGGCAGCCAGAGACTTTGGCGGGGCCGTGCAAGAATTCTTCCAGTGGAAAGCCGACATGACAAAGTTTGACATAGAGGTGAGCCTGTTTGTTCAGGCTGGAATGATTCATATTGAATTCCAGTGCAGTGGCCAAAAACAGCTCTGCTCGCAGAGATAAACATTTTTGATGTGACGTCATATTTATTTTAGGGTGTATCAAGTGTACAGTGGTTTTGAATAACACTTCCACCCAGATAAGTCCGTGAGAAGAAGGAAAAACATTGCACCGTTTAGAAGTTTGAGTTTTTGAAGGTTATGACAGGCTGTGTTAATGCGATCGAGGACTTGACATTTTTTCTATATGAGCTTCAGCAAACACTGCTATGAAAGAATAAGTTCTCGAAAAAGAAACGAAAATATTAGATTTTTCCCCAGCTGAGGATGATTCGATGAGACGGCTGTTTCGGTACAGGTCGCAGACAGAGAAAGTCATGGAGTTGACTTTACCAAAAACATCCAATATGTTTGAAAACAGCAGTCAGTCATTTCAGCACAAGAGAACGTTTTCATGCCCGATTTAACTACATTTCCCTGAACTGCCTCATCCACTGCAGGTCCTGCTCAACATACACAATGAGGAGGTGGTCATAGGCATCGCACTGACCGAGGAGAGCCTCCATAGAAGAAACATCAGCCACTTTGGACCCACCACTCTGCGTTCTACCTTGTGCTATGGCATGCTCAGGTACCTCTCATCTTCTTTTTAGTGGGGCTGAAAAGTTATTATTTGTCTTCCCCAAACAAAGTCCCAAAAAATAACCTCTTTGGTCAGAAGCGTCCTGAATATACTTTGCTTTGGTCAGCGTCCTCTTGGACAGCTTGTTTCTGTATCATTCTGTATCCCTTAACCCTCGCTGCCGTCGTCCTCAGTTTGCTGCCACCACAACCACACGATATCAGTTCACCAAGCACCTACACGTTTGAGTGGAATCTCTCCTGAAATTCTGGTTCTCAATGTGGACGCACAACACTCTGACCTACTTGGTTCAGTGTGCAATACAAAACTAATCCAAGCCATCTAACTCTGATAACTGCACATAAAGTTTCATAACATTTAAGGGAATCTATCAAACACCATCCGTCAAGTCCGGATTTTCTTGTTTGGCGAATTTAACATATTGCATTTTAATTACCTGTCTTTGAAAGTACCGCAAATACAGACTTGATCTTTTATTTTATTCTTAACAGCATAGAGTACATACTCTTGTGTTAGAGGAAGACCTTTATTTAAATTGTTATTAGTATGAATCGTCCTCCTAAAATTTTTACACCTACTCATTTAGATTTATCATTCATTTTCCAGAGAACTCCCTCCCTGTAATGTATGTATGCATTTTTTTCTGCTACCGAATATAGAATATAGTATGACCACCTCCTGTGAGAACATGTAGACATGCCTGGCTTTGAATATGATGAAAAACGTATAGAGAGGGTTGGATCCTGGGGTCGTGACACCCAGTCCGTCAGCCTCGGTTTAGGCCCGTCACTCTCCTCCCATGCAAACGTCGGCACACGCAAGACTGGTGACACAATAACTGACTTTCCAACCACACGGGTGTCCCTCTGGCGGGGTGTGCGTCTTTATATTTTTGTAACCTTTGTGCTATTGGCTCATGTGAGAATCAGAAAGGGCAGCGTTGCAGTGTGTGTGCAGGCAGAACAGCTCTCACAGGGAGCTGCACGATCCATCAGACGGGAAGCTTAACCCCTGCAGTTACATTTTGAAATTCTTTCTACTTCTGTTCAAATGTCCCTCTCAGTATTTTTGTCGTTGACGGGCTGATGTGACTCCTGGTTTCTGAACGCTCGGCATGTTGTGTCGAGACTAAACTAGTGTTATAAAGATGAAAGATGGCAAAGTGAGATTGCCTGTGAGATGGGCAAACCTCTTTGTTAATACAGGTACACCCAGTACACACTAAAACAGAAAAGAAAAATCAAGCTGTGTTGTGACACGTGTGTGCGTCACACCTTTTGTATTTATTTTAAGTAAAGTGACAAAGACACAAGGGATTGCTGCTCAATCTTAGATTTTCCGCAAAGATTAGCACATAACTAAAGAGTGCCTCTGTTCCATCCTTTCAAAACGTGATTATGATCTATGCACTTTATTTAAGATTCGGGTCACTTGACTACCACACTGTATATCAACAAAACGCCTTATTTTTTTAGAAACCGGTATTATATGTATATATTTAGATACATATTACTGATAATGCATGCATGTTCCAACACAATTGAGGCTTGTTAGCCATATTGAGACCTCACTTTATTACAAAAGCATAATAATTCAAAGACAGTGAACAGCAGAGAGACCATTTCATTCTCTACCTCAGGCAAATAGCAGCGATATCAGTAGATACTTTTCTAGTGTTCTGTAAATGCCGCATTGTGTTTTGGCCCATGGTTCGACCTAACTAACAGCTGTGCTAAACTGTCCCAACACAAACATCTTCTGTCAGTGATTCCTGCGGTTACATATTTGCCAAGTATATGACACAAAGTAAACTTTCAACTTAATTAGCTGTTATCACATCATAAATAAAGCACAGTCTGAAAGTATGAGAGCAGCGTAAACAATGAAGAAATAACACTGTGCAGCAGTTCCCACTGAAACTCTATCAAACTGTCTGGGACAAGATTCTGGCATTTTGACATCTAGCAAGACTACTTGTTGTTTCAGGAGACTTTTGTTAAAGTGACAGACACAATTAAGGAGTTAAATTGGCAGCACCATGTGTGGAATGAAAGGAGTGTAGAGTTTCATTTCATTGTTATGTGTCTTTTCAGTTAAATGTTAACTTTGGCAAAGATAAATGGGATTAGAAGAAAATAACCATCTTGAGATATTTGTTGAATGCGTTTAACGAACACAGCAAAAATGATGGATACCAAATAAGTGAGATTAAATTGTTTTTAAAAATAAAACAAACTTCTCTTTTTCTTACTCTGTTTGCTTACAGGTTGTGTAAACCTGAGGACTCTGATATCATACTTGATCCAATGTGTGGGACCGGGGCGATTCCGCTGGAGGTGAGACGGTGCTCCTGCCCGCAGCGCGGCTCAACTCAGTTTGGCTTTGATTTGTCTTACTTCCCCCTGATGATGGGCGCGACACAGCTGTGCAGAAGCCAACCTCAGTGCCTGCAGATTGGTCATTTCACTGTGTGCGCTTATGGCTGCCCTTTAAGTGTGTTTAAGTGTGTGAGCATAACAACCGTAAGCCTGATCCACGGCGGTAAAATGCATCACCTTTAATGGCCATTATCATGACAACACAATTGTGGTTCATAATTCATGCTTTGAATGACTCATTTGATCACAGGCTACTAATAATGTTTGTTTTGTTTTTTTTTGTTTTTCTCAAGGGTGCCATAGAATTTTCCAATTCATTCTACATTGCTGGCGACAACAACGACATGGCAGTCAACCGCACAGTTAATAACGTTTGTCACATCCAGAAAAGGAGGGCAGACAAGGGCAGGTGGGTAAACTGCTGGATTTCCCAATGAACGTAGAAACTAAGCTCCTGCACAATGTGGTAACATGTGTTGCACACAATAATTGTATTTTTAAGTCTACTATAAGTTTAAACCTCAGCAAATCCCTCTGCATTTGCCAGAGGGTCTGCATTGCTTTGCATTTTCATAGAGGTTCCCAAAGCTGTTTGCTAATTGGTTTCTTTTCCGTTGGTGAGGGGAAATGCTTAATTTTATTATAAACCGTTTTAAAGGGAAATGTCTCATTATTTGATATAGGGGAAAGTATTGTACTGGGGTGTAACCACACGCACGTTAGCATGTGATTTATTTTTACGGCTCTCATGTGAATTCTTTTAATTTAAACAGCACATCTGGATTGCCTATTGACACAGTGCAGTGGGATCTGTGCAATTTACCCATGAGGACCAGCTCTGTTGACATCATCATCACTGACATGCCCTTTGGCAAAAGGTACTTTCACACATGTAACTTTAGGAAGATCGGCTTTATTATTGGACACTTAAAGTCTATATTAAAGTGATAATTAACTTAGGCTTCAATATAACTCAAATCTGTTGCCTCGAATAGGAAATTGTTGTATTTATCAATTATCTGAATAAATATTTCAGACATACTTTCAAGGCAGGAGTAAATCTGTGTTAAGCACTGACTCTTTACTTCTTTGCTTGTTTCCTATTCATTTAAAGAATGGGCTCCAGGAAGAAAAACTGGGACCTGTACCCGTCTTGTCTCAGAGAAATGGCTCGTGTGTGCAGGCCATGCTCAGGGAAGGCTGTCCTTTTGACACAGGACAAGAAATGCTTTGCCAAGGTAAAGTTTGTGTATTGTTCATGACAAAACTGTCTTTCTGTGAAACGATCGAAGACATTTCCCGGCAAAGTAATATCCCACTTTCAGAAGAATAATACACCGAACTCAATGCAAGTTCTGTCCTGTCATGTTGTCTTGATAGCAAGTCCTACTGCTTTTTGTTTGATGTACAGTATCTCATCTTTACACACCCACACTCTTGAAACCTGAGGTAGTTTTTTCCAGGCGAAGGCATTTGAGTACCAGCATGTCTGTGTTGTGCTCTATGGATACTTTAACCAGTGTAACGTTTTGCCAGTTTGCCGCTCCGCAGCCTTAAGATGACTGTGAGCACAACGTCGGGGAGACATCATCCATAACCATAGAGAAGCAACTATTGCTACTCAATATGAAAGGGGTCAAAAAGGCCACTTTTGAGTTGGAAATTTACGCACAGCTACCGTCCGTTCGCATGCTTGTTTCTACTCTTCCACAAGAGGGCACAGCTGACTGCTCCAACCAGAAGCTGCTACCAGATTTACAGGATGTGAGTAAATACAGGGCTCATCCTAGACATTCTTTGATCTTAAGATCACAGCGGAAAAGGGAACAAAAGTAAGCTTACGAAGACTTTTCCTCGTCACTGACGTGTTCATTCTCTAAACGAGCCCGCTCACAAGTGTTCAGCACCAAATTCAAGTGTAGTCTGACCATTCAGGTCTGATGCTTAAGTCACATTTAAGGTCAGCAGGTGACTTTTTTTTTTTGTTTGCATTAACTTGTCCTCAGCCTGTGAATGGACACGGTTTTTAACCGCTTCCAGTCTGGTTGTACACAACATCGCAGTGCTCGAACAAGGTCTCACTTATTTGATCAGTGACAATGGCAAACTGCTTGGTTTTATTTCTTTGAGATTGATGCAGGCTATCCCGCCCTCCTCCAACACACAGCATTAAGCTCGTTAGTCTGTTCCTCTCAAATATGTTTAATAGAAGCTTTTGTTAGCCTCAGTCTTTTCCTCCCCTCTGTTCTGGACTCACATGCCCTCTTCATCCTCTTAATAACACTTTTCATGGATATTACCATTCATTTTCTAATGACGCAAAGTTTCTCTTTCTGACATTGAATCCTGGATGGTCTAAAAGGTTGTTATGATGAGAGGTCAGAGGTAATTCCGTTTGCTCCCCCAGGTTCCCTCGCTGTTGTCCCGTAATGATGCCACCCTTGCAACTATAGATCATGGTTTTTCATTCTGGGCTTGTCCAGTCAAAGACTTTAAACTCAGGTCATTTCATCTATTGATTTCTAGGACAAAACTATGTGCGATTCTTGGCTTTCTCTGCCCTACATTTTGTAACACAGTGTGCTCACAATAAATCTAGGCTCCCTGTGTGATCAGCAGTTAGTTCAGAACACTGCAATTAGACCCATTACCAGGACAGAGCAAGTCTTAAGCCCTCCAAACCATAGATGACAAGGAACACTCCACATCCCAGTTTGTTTCCACATCTAAAGGGAGGTCACATCCCCTTGACGAGAGCCCAAGTTGGCAGCCTGCAGCAGTCATAAAAAAAATTAATCTTTTTAATCCCTTCTTAGAGCTAATGCCAAATTACAACTCAGAAACATGGTAAAGCCAGGTCTGAACACAGGTTGTTGTTTACACCAAACAGGTAGAGCCTTTAAAAGCTTACATAATTTCAAGTGAAACTGAAAAAAACTAAACGGCGTCACTTGTCAAACATGAACAATGCCTCGCTGACAACTTCCTTGGGCAATTTAATTAATTTTCCTTATATCTAGCATCAGTCAGAGGCGGTAAACAATAACAGGTAGGAGCGCCTGTAATGATGTAAAAGGTTATTGGTATGTGACCTCTGAAGAATTCCCTTACAACAGATAATATCTGACTTCTCACCCTGTGTGACGCACTTTGAAGTGTTAATGAAGATAGAATAAGCCTTTTTTAGAACTAATAATAAGAAATAAGTGCCGACATCACCAGCCAAATGCTGTGGCACTTTCCTGAAGGGGGTTATATTTAAAAGCAAGTCTAATTGATTATATAATAATAAGGTAGTTGTGATAAAAGTTGCTTGTAATGTGCTTTTTATTTGTCACTTTTGATGATTTTTATTTGTTCTTAATGGTGTGAGGACACAGTGAATACTTTTGCACAAGTGTGGTTTATTCCCTAATGTGCTGGAACTCCTAAGATATGTGAAGTGTGGGATACTATTGTGTAATAAGTGGTTTTGGCTTTATTTAACTACAAACCTGATATGTTTGTGTTGGACGTCTCCAGCTTTAAACAGTCTGAAGTGAAATAATGTCCCAGAAATGGCCAAACAGTTTGAGTAACTCATGTGTAACCCTCGTCCAGTTCCTCCTCATGAAAAAAAAAAAAAACGACAACTGTCTCACTTGTTAGTTTGTCCTCACAATATTTACGTTGCTTCCAGGCTATATCAAGGATGGGAGGTCTGTGGAGGAAGCAGCACACTGTTTGGGTCAACGTCGGGGGTTTACACGCCGGAGTCTACCTCCTCAAACGGACCGCAGCCGTGTTTGGCCAAACTCCGGAGGACATCTATGAATCACAAAGAATGGTTGATATACAGAGCCATGACAAGGAGCTCTCTTAATGAACTTCCTGTGTTTAAAGCTCTGGGTTTTGAGGTCATGGTTGATAGGTTTTATTTATACTGTCTTAACTAATTCGCCTTTTTTCCCCCCTGACTAAGATTCTCTGCTCAAGCACGCCAAATAGTTTGAATGTGTCATTTTGGACAGCAGTCCTCATGTTGAGCAAATGTGTCTCACAATATTTGACATAATTAATTAATTTGTTAAATTACACAATCTTGGAGGTAGCGTAAGTACTACCCTGTCTGTGTTAATTCTACTGCAATTTAGGATCCGAGCTTCACTAATAAAGGGTCAACCTCAGTGTCTGTGGATGTTTCTTTGAATTGGCCACAACAGGAATTCGTCCAGAGCAAAGACGGACGTCAGAATGGACCATGTGCTGCCCCGTTGTCAGACTTGTTTCTGAGAAGGGAGAGGCTTCATTTTCCTTTGCTGCTGCATGTTAGACGTGCTGACATGAACCTTCTGCTGAAGAGGAAGTTACTAAGGTAACATAAACCCAAAGGGGGTTTGGAGTGAGTAGCCTGCAGGCTGTGGTGATGAGATCGCAGAAAGTGTGTCAGACTTCCCTCAGTCTCTCAATAAGAGAATTCCCAGCCCAAACATCTCAGGGATATTTGATAACAGGAAAAAGATATAATAAACAGTTATCGTGACTGTTTAATGAGAAATGATATTCGGGAGATAAAGACCTCATGGCTGTTATGTCTTTTTTCCCTCTTACTGTCATTTATATGAGTGTGATGATTTCACAATGTGATCCATTAACTTAATTTTTTCCTAGATGAGAGATATATATATATATATATATATATATATATATATATCTCATATTGGCATTTTCTGTAGCGTCTTTCAATCATCTATTAGTTGTTATTTTTACCCTTTTTACACATCTTTTGGGATAAGTTCCCTACTATCCCCTGCGTGTGAAAAAAGAAGGGGGTGTATCGGAGGGGAAAACTTCATTTTCTTTATCCTGGACTTGCTCACTGTCTGCTGGTCACGTCGGCCCGGTCCCGGTGACGTGCACGCGGATGTGTGCAGCAGCAGAATGAGGGAGCGCTCAGTGACGGATCCACGCGTGACGCAACAGGTGAGGAGGACGCATAAAAGGCAAAGTGACGGCGGCCCACAGGAGGCTGGAGACTACACAGCGGCGACGTTTGAACAGAGGAGATGATCTGGGCCATACTGCTGCTCGTTTTACTTTACGGTGTCATCACACGCAGACGCAGGTAAGGGATTTCCCTCCCGTCCTCTGGCAAAAGCCGCAGGTCCAGATGAACTTCATTTTGGGTGAAACAAATACAGAGAAAGTGTTTTAAATTCATTTGTATCTGTTAGGCTGTCAGGAGTTAATGATCTGTGTCTGGAGTTAATGGCCCGTGTCAATACGAATTTAATGGATATATGAAATGTCTATTTCTTTGAGGAGTTCATTATAACTGGTGAAAAAGGAAAGGGAATCCTCGCGCTTTCTCGGGAAATACCGCACCCGATTATTTTTAATCCTTTGCAGTTTAAAGGAATGCGGTTTAGCCACTGTTAAATTTAGACTGTTCCGTACGCTTTACACCCCACGGGGCTTTTGTTTTGATCAATCTATGACGTATTTGGTTTAAACCAAACTATTTCAAGTACTCAATTTACTCCAACAATCCAGTTATTTAAAAAAAGAAGCAACAGCCTCATCCTCTAACGTTTCTGTGCAGCCAACAATCAGATGTATGCAGGATGGTCTGTGGATAGTGTATTTAAATGTTTCTCTGTTTTTGTCCTCCTTTAGATCCAAGAGCGAACCACCTCTTGATAAAGGACGTATTCCATGGTTGGGCCATGCACTTGAATTTGGAAAGGATGCCTCTAAGTTCATAAATCGAATGAAGGAAAAACACGGAGACATCTTCACGGTGAGTAGAAGAGAAACTTCTTATCTTGTTTGCTTTGAGGTCTTGAAACTGATTTGACTTTGCCCTCATAATACTGAGTGGCACTCTGTCGCCCCAAAAGAGACGTAATGTGTGTACATGGAGTAAAACCCCTTTTCGTCCTAAAAGTAAAAGCAGAAGGCATTTTTGTGATACCGAAAGCTTTTGCTCAGTTCATAACCCGTGGAAAAAGTCCCTGTGAAGCTTGATAAAGAGAAGTAAGATGTAAACCACACTTCCTCAGGAATATACTGCTTTTGGTTTTACAAAATATTTTCCAGGAGAAGCTAACACTGCACTGGACTCTCTACCAGATTTCTGAAGCTCTTTTCTAAAGATTTACAACATTTAGCAGAAGACTTAAGAACGTGTTCATTTTCATGCAAAATTATGTTGTGGGTGCAGCTGCTCAACATAATTTTGCATTTATATACAGTTATTTCTAGTTAAGAATCTGTTTTATGACATTACTGCGTTAATTTAGCTGAACAGTAGGAAAGCAAGCATCTCAGTTGATTTTGTCTGCACCTGCTAAATTAATGTCTCTCATTTCCACTCCTCCTCTCCTGATGCACAGGTGCGCGTCGCTGGTCGCTACGTGACCCTGCTGCTGGATCCACACTCATACGACGCAGTCATCAGTGATTCAGACTCTCTAGACTTTACAAAATATGCGCAGGTGCTCATGGAGCGGATCTTTAACCTGAAGCTTCCACATGAGCAGCCAGCAAAAGCCAAAACCATGATGAAAAGGTACATTTGTCCACATCAGAAAGGGAATTCCTAGATTAGAATTCCTAGATTAGAATCACAATTGGTTTTCAAGGAGTGTCGCATCATTTACCACATTCTTTGCCAGACTAACCCAGTGACCCTTTGTGTCTTTAACTATTGGTATTTACAGTCACTTCTTGGGAGTAAATTTGCCTACCCTGAAAAGCTCAATGGGCCGGCACCTGCAGGGCTTGCTGAAAGCTGAGCTGCCTCAGAACCAGAGAGACTGGAAAGAAGAAGGGCTGTTTAACCTCTGCTACGGCTTACTCTTTAGGTATGAAGTAGCCTCGTCTTCCCACACACAAACTGTCAAAAGAGACATGCTAAAAGAGAATTTGAAGCTAAACAATTTAGACCCTGGTACATCTTGTGACGTTTAGTTTGTAAACACTGTTGTAAAAATGTATGGTGAGTACATTCCTACACCATTCTGACTTGAAGTTTTTCGCTGTGAGTGGATGAATAGTCCATGTTGACATTAAATCAGTATTTTCTTGTCTTGATAAGCATTGCCTAAGACTTTTCCAACAGTTCGGTGCATTTCGTTTGCCTCAATTGTTGAGATGATTGATAAACTTTGTGTGTGGGGATGGAAAAAAAAGTAAATTGTGGTATTTCAAATAGATAAATAAACAAAACAAAACAAAACAAAACACCCTGCGTGGGTGAGAAAAAGCATTGTTCGTCAAGTGGAGAATGCTGCTCATTCTCCTCGCTCTCTCTCCCTCTGAAGGGCGGGATACCTGACGCTGTTCGGAGGAGAGCAGAACAACAATGCCGTAGATCCATCACGTGTCTACGAGGAGTACAAGAAGTTTGATGGTTTTCTAACCAAACTGGCAAGAGGCACGCTGAAAACAGGTAGGTTCACTGCTTAAAGCTCTGAGTTGCTTCTCATTTCTTGATCCATGATACAGCTGAACGTCATAAAAATCTAACCACAGAAAAAGGGTAAAAGTTAAATAAAGTGCAAGTCATGATTCGAGAGTAGGAGTTGTGTTGTTTTGTCTAGTATTTCGACTGCTTACATGAGTCACCAGTTAACGCAGTTTTGCATCACAGATGCGTTCTCTTTTATTTGTTTTTGTGGTTGCCATGGTTGCATGCACTTACTAAATTGCTTACATACTGTCAGGGAGTCATTGTTTTTTAATGACAAAGTCACTTCCACAGACTGTGACCTAATCGCCATGTCGTCACATCACGCAGTGTATTTCCCATGGTGTTTTTTCTCTTTCTCATTGTGTACTGTTCCATCTGTCCCACCCAAACTATAAGGAATACAGTCATTACAGAGTTATAACCTACCTATTACCATACCTATGTAGGTCATCGGTCAAAAATTATTTCTGTCTAAAAAAATAGAAGTTAGTACGCAAGTATACAAGTAGTGACTATTTAAGTATCCACTCTGACTGAGATGTTTACATTTTGGTCTGTGACTCACTGTGATGTTTATCTGTGTGCGACAGAGGAGAAGAAAACGGCAGAGAGCGTTCGCAAAAGACTCTGGGACCTTCTGGCTCCAGCAGGTCTGAATGAGGATTCGGCGTCAAGCCCCTGGCTCCACGCCTACAAGCAGCTCCTGCAGGAGGACGGTGTGGATGAGGAGACTCAGAGAAAGGCTGTGCTCATGCAGCTGTGGGCCACACAGGTGAGTCAGAGCGTGAAGGAGCCGCATTTTGGGTTCACAATCAGAGGGACTTCTGTTGGTGATCGGGCTCAGAGATTAGCTCAGCCTCTTACTCATTCAGATGAACGTGATAACTTTGCGGCTGTGGAATGACTGTCACGTGCACCTCACATGGACACTTGACTTCCTTAAAATAAGGGGAAATGTCAGGCAGCATGCTGGTGTGAGCTGCCCAACAGTTGGCTCTCATCGTGTAGCGCAAATTTCAGCTGAAGCCTTTCTGTGCGGAGTTTGTGATCTCCCCCAAGCCTTGTTGGTGAGCCTGTCTCAGTCCATAAAACACGCGTGGGATTTTATGGGGTTGTCATTTGTGGTTGTGTGTCTTGGCGTGGCCCTGCACTGGACTGTACCCCACCTCCTTCTCAGTCACAGCTGGGACGGGCTCCAGACTATTAGTGGAGTAAGAGTGGGTGGCAGGGTGGCAGAGGTGCTGTACTATTACTCCGCACACGGGGGTGCTGTTAACCTCCGATTCAGGAATAAAGACAAATGGGGGCGCAGCATCTGAGCGCAGCCCCATTGTTTAGAAGACCTTTTAGTAGTGTTAGCCTTCAAAAGCCCACTTTAAAATACTAATGGACACTTTATTCTCAATCTTCTGACACAGAGGTTGTTCCTTAAAGGCATGCTTCTTAAATATAAACGCTTAAAATAAACGATCAACTTTCAGTTTCGTCATGTTTGCTTTAGGTCAAATAATAGATTTTGTAGATATGTGTTTTTATGCTTTTAGTGTTAAAGTTTGGTTCTTTAGTTTAGCTTTAGTCACATGTAAATGTGGGTTTATATGTGAGTTTTAAGACTCGTGCCTTGTTAGCTACAGTCCAGCTGTCGAGGCATAAATCAAATATTTTATTCATCTAGCCTTCAGGTCATATGCTCACCCTTGGCCTCTTGGTTTATTTAGATCTATTTAAGGTTTTTTTGAGTCGCATCTGGTGCCGTCACATTTTCAAAATATTATAAAACTTCAGAGGGACAAATGAGGGCATATTCATCATGTTATCTCTATTTCCACTTTCCTTTTTTTCCCCCTAAAACTAAATAGCTTGGATGTCCTGCCCTTGGATGCAGGCAGATGGCAGGGGACCTCCGGTTTTCAATGGCTTTCCTTTTTAAGTAAACCATTACTGCGCTGGGCTTTGCCAGCAGTGAGACATTCCAGAGCACAGCTCTTCTCAGTCCAGACACATGAAATGGAGCCATTTTTTTTCCTTTTTTTTAAAAAAAATCTTCCTGAATTTTAAAAATCATTTGGCTTTTTGAATCAGTGGCTCTATGATTTCACTGATATCCCTCTATTTAATTTTATTTTTGAAACTCTAGGCAGAGGTTGGATTTGAGAGGTGTGATGTCATGTGATGTTTTATTTTCCGTTATCAGTAGGCACCTGCGCTGTCACTACGCCACGCCAGAGTAAGAGACTTTGTCACCATCCTCATGCGGGGCTTTGTGTGTTTACAGGGTAATGTTGGTCCAGCTGCATTTTGGCTCTTGGCCTTCTTGTTGACAAATCCTGAAGCTCTGATGGCAGTAAAGAGGGAGTTTAGCCAGATCTCGCAGATGGAGACCTCAGAGATTTTCCTCGTGGACAGATCCGTGAAAACTCCAGTATTTGGTGAGGACTTTATCTCAATTATTTCTAACAAATGAACTAATGAATTTGCATTGTAATGTGTCGTCGGGAGGATGACAAATAAAAATCTCTTTTTAACTCTACATCTACATAGGTTCGCAAGTGAAATCTGTTATAGTATATTGCATATACATATAGAATGGAAACACTAACACATAAATACAAAATTCGAATTGAAAAAATCCACACTTTTGAAAAGAAATTTCTTTGTGTTGTACTTTTTTTTCTTCCACAAATTTTAAGCATTTCTGTTTGCTCTCTCAGACAGCGCCTTAGAAGAGACACTGAGGCTCACTGCTGCCTCCTTCATAACCAGAGAAGTTGTGCAAGAGAAAATCCTTCCCATGGCTGATGGCAGCGAGTATCTGCTGAGAAAAGGAGACAGGGTGTGTTTGTTCCCCTTCGTCAGCCCTCAAATGGACCCTGAGATTTACTGTCAGCCACAGGTTTGTCATTTTGTTTTCTCAAGCAGCTGCTGTCTTGCTTCAACACTCTCAAAACCCTCCTGTATTGCCAAGATAAATGGCTGTAATTGACTTAGAATCTCATTCGAGACAGACTTCAGTTTATGCATTCGTTTCTTAGTGTGTATCAGTATTTGTTTATATAAGGTGGAATCAGTGCCTGCCAAAAACTGACCCTGTCTATTGTAGAGAGAGGTCAAAGTAAGCAGAGAGCCATTAAGGGATTTCCTGAACATTTGAATTAAAATAGAGCAAATGGGAGTGGGAATTAAAGTCTTCAAGAAGGCCACTTGTAACTGAACAACCATGCTTTACATGGTTATGGGAATTGTATTTTTTGGTTTCATGTATCTAATATTTGCTGCCCAAAACTACGCTTCCTCTGCAGAAATTCGAATACGACCGTTTCCTGAATGAGGACGGTTCGGTTAAGAAGGATTTTTACAAAGGAGGGAAGCTGCTGCGGTATCACACCATGCCGTGGGGCGCCGGTACCAATGGCTGTGTGGGCAAGCCGTTCGCCATCAGCACCATCAGGCAGTGAGTGGCCCCGAACTTCTTCTTCAGATAGTTTTCAGTTTGGAGCGGGCATCAAAATGTCTGTGATGTCATTTCTTCTCGCTTGTCTTAACGTTGTGTTCATCTGTGTTTACACCTCAGGTTTGTTTACATGTTGTTGACCAACTACGATCTGGAGCTCTGCGACTCAAAGGCTGAAATACCAGAGATAAATACCAGCCGTTATGGATTCGGGATGCTGCAGCCTGAGGGAGACTTGCTTGTTCGTTATAAACCAAGAAATGTGCACTAGGAAATGGAATACCTTACTTTCTTTTGAATATTTCAACCCAATAACATTGTCAATATTGTAAATATGTCCTTTGTACTTTTGTATTTGCTATTTATATGACTTATTCAACTATTTATCAATAAATATGAGTCTTACATTGTTTACAGTCACTTGTTGTCGCTTCTTTGGTACCATGCTCACTCCACGGTCATTATCATTAGTATGTTACTAAAATGTAACAAAGGAATTGAACCAGTTCTCACAACTTAAGCTGTAAAAAAAAACAGAACATTCTTTGTATAAAATACAGATGCTCGGTGTAATAAGAGGAGTCCCTGTACTGTAAGCAAAGCCACTCACACATCCGTTATGATGACACATACCCACTGTGTGAAGAGTAAGTCAGAGTCAAAAGCTTGCATCAGTTTATTCGTAGGAAACCAGTTGGGTTCTTACTTTCAGGAGAAAGTCCCAGACCCATGGACAACAAAGCTCTTGCTTATATTTAGACTTCTGTTGCTGGAAAAGAGACGCAGCGATGATAATAATAATGCTACAGTGGTTAATCTGACTCGTTGTCGTCTGATGAACAGTAACCCTTCTGCACAGAGCAGGGATGCAGAGTAGGATGCAGTGGGATGCGACTCTCGCCGGCTCGGTGAGGGTTAACTTTCACACAGGCTGCGCCGCCGAAGGAGCCCGAGTGAAATCAGCCCCGGCCGGCCGGCACAATCTCGCTCACAGTCACAGCGAGCAGGTGGTGGCGAGACACCGAGAGTTTTTTTTTTTCCCCCGTTTTGATATCAGGGATCTACTTGTTGATGCGCTCGGAGAGTGGCTGGACATTGTGACAGCTGCCTGACCTGGCGTTTTTTTGTCAGCATGCCAGGGTGCTGCTCACCATGCCTCCAGCAGCTCCCTGCAGAGGGTCGGAGACGTCGACGGGCTTAACAAGTTGCAGCGCACTTCCTCCTGAAATGTTGCTGATGTTGGCCTGCGAAGTGAAACGGGATATAAGGAAGAGACGTACGTACTCTGTTTTTCCTTCTACTGTATTAAGGAACATTCATCTTAACAATGTGTCTTCTTCTTATTGCCTTATTGTGGGTATTTGGTCGTTTAGCTTCCAGCTAAATTTCTTCAGTCTTTTGTGCATTTAGCGTAGCAGGGTGATGCAAAATATTCCTTAAAATATTAACCCACTCCTCCACCCCCCAAAAGAAAAATGTATTTCCGTTGCGTTACTCAGACATGCGCACGTTAGACGCAGCAACAACAAACTTCTTTCAGCCTTTCGATACACTTATGGGTGTTTTGAATCATAAAAAGAGATAACCTAAGCGTGGGTGTGTACCGTAGCATTGCAATTAACTTGTGAAGACTGTCCCGGGATGTCCTCAGACTGCTCTGAGGGGATAACCCACTGTGTTATGGGCTATCAAAGTTGATAATCGCTGTCGGTATTAGTCCAGCTTAATGAGACTCTAAATAACAGCTCGCGACGCGTTCACGTAACGGGCCAAACAGGACAACTTTTGGGCCGAAACCAATCACTGTCCCACCCGACCTTACACCTTTCAGCACCCTGGACAGCGCCGCACCGGCGGCCTGATGGGTCGGGCCTTTCAGTACTGGACAGCGCTCAC